CCCCCCCCCCCCCAAATCGTTCAGTTGTTGCTGTCTTAACACAAGTTAATAATAATCTCCTGTCAGATCTGTCTTACCGTGTCCTCCATCCAGAGCTGCCCTTTTCAGAGCTGCTTGAGGCATGAGGGAAATGCTCCTTTTTCCTCACAAGCCACTTGTTGTTTAGTGATTCCTGAAATTTCGTCTGGAGCAAGAGGTGGTTCTTCGTGTGTTACGCAATAAGCACCAAAATGGAGAAAGCAGATCGGTATTAATTTTAAAAGACTTTTCATAGACTCCTTAAACACTTTTTTTTTTTTTTTTGTGGTACTGCTTAATGATTTGCGTGAAGCCAAACAATTTTTCCCGATACGAGGTTTTTCAGATGGAAATGCCAACTGCTTGTGTAGCTTAACTTGTGTAACACAGTTCTAGTTGCTGGGTATCTACGGCTAAAGATACAGGAGCCCAATTCAACCCTTGCACGCTTTTCAGTTTTTGTGCTCTTAAAATATTAATGCAAGTAAAAAGTTTCTTAGCATTGCCCTTAAATCGGTGGTTATGGCCTCCCACAGCATCACAGAACGGTTGAGGGTGGAGACACCCCCAGAGGGTATTTTGTTGAGCCAGTTGGACCCTGTTCCCCAGGACCGTGTCCCGGTGGCTTTTGAGTGTCTCTGGGGAGGGAGGATCCACAACCTCTCTGGGCAACCTGGTCCAGTGTTTATCCTCACGGTAAAAAAAAAAAAGTGCATTGAGACTGACTAGCCTGTGTTTCAGTTTGTGTCCGTGGCCTCGTGCTCTGTCCTTGGGAACTACTGAGAAGAGCCAGGCTCTATCTTCCCTACACCCACCCCGCAAATGTTTACCCCTGAGTCTTCTCTAGGTTGAACAGTCCCAGCCCTTTCAGCCTTCCCTCATAGGGGAGGTGCTCCAGTCTCTTAACCACCCTTGTGGCACTTTGTTGGACTCTCTCCACTATGTCCCATTTTTCTCTTGTACTGGGGAGCCCAGAACCAAACGCATTACTCCAGGTGTAACCCCACCAGTGCTGAGTAGAGTGGAAGGATCACCTCCCTTGACCTTGTGGCAGTAATTTGCCTAATGCAGCCTTGGGCAAGCTCTTGGCTCGTGTTCAGCTTTGTCCACAGGGACACTCAGATCTTTTCCTACAAATCTACTTTCCACCTGAGCGACCCCAAGCATCCGCCGGCGCATGGAGTGGCTCCTTCTGAGGTGCAGGATTTTGCACTTCCTCTTGTTGAACTTCAGGAGGCTGCTGTCAGCCGATTTCTCCAACTTGTTGAGGTTCCCCTGGATGGCAGCAGTTTTCCCTCTGGATTGCTTCTGTGCAGATAGCTCAAACTGCTTGTGCTTACGCATAGCCTTGAGGATATTTAAGGGTACACCTGTTTCTGATGGTACCAATAGCCCTTCTCTTCACCAGCTCTGCTTTGAGTCATAGTAGTTTTACCATCACTGTGCAGATGGGGTAGTTAATCCTAGATCTGGGTACTCAGGTTTTTGCCTACGTGGTTTAGGAACATCTCTTTGCAAAAAGCCAGTGCTGTGCCCTTCCAATACGCTACAGGTACCTTTAAGCTCAGGGGGTTGATGTATAGAGCTTCTGCTGACATCCCACTGGAGTCTGACCTTACCAAACAATGGAGAGGGAGGCATCTACAAGCCAAGTTTAAATTTCTTTGATACACACTGGGAAATAGAGATGGTGAGCTTTCAACCAGACTAGGTCTCATGACCTTTCTTATTACCTTCTCAAAGGCTTCCGTGTCTGTGAGACTTTTCACTTTCACCTCAAAAAGTTGGGAGATGAGATTTATTTCCTCCTTGGAGAATGGTTCTTCCTTTAGCAATATCTGACTTATCTCGTGAGATTTATCACTGTGTAAAACTGCCGAGAGCTGGAGTTTGAGAGAGAATGTTTCACTAAGACAAGCCTTTAGTGCCTAGAAAAAAAAAACAACCAACAAACCACTGTATTGAAAGACCTGGAAGCAGTCAAACACAATTATTTACAGCTAACCACTGACTAGAGATACTAATAAGGGGGAGAAAAAAGATGGAATCAAGCAATAGCAGGGTGCCAAGAGTGGTTTTCACTTCCGAAGCCTGTTTAATCTGGAATAATCACTGGTCTAACGGGGATTTGATACAGAGCACAGCTGTGCTGCGCAATGGGGTTGCTGTGCAGCTGTTAAAGACAAGATCGGGATGAAACCACGGTGCCTCGCATGAGAGGAATCCTGCTTGGGATATTTGTGTTGTGCTGGTTTCTAGACAGTGCTGGTAGCCCAACTTGCCACTCATGAGAAGAACCATCGTTCATAAAGGGCAGCTTTCAGCAGGGGACTGAAATCCCCGTGTGTACACTGGGAATCCCTTTGGGGAAAATGGGATGATAATGGCCGTCCCCCGCAATACAAAAGTGCGCTTTAGTGAAGGCCGAATGGGAAGAGTTGCATCACGTCAGGACATTAGGGGAAGAACGCTGCCGTTGCATTTTTTTTTTTTTTTCCTCAACAAATGTGTCTGGTCTAACTGCGTTCTCTGCGTCAGGGCTACAACGATGCGAGTGCGAGCTCTGACTGTCCCACGTACTGGCCGGCTGGTGGTTGGAATGTAGTCGTCTGTTCTGATCCCCTTAGCTGTCAGGGGAACAGGCAGGTGTTTCCGAGTTAGCGGTGTCTGTGCGCAGGCAGGGTGTTAACGCGTCATCTGGTGGATTTTTCTGCCGTCTCGCTGTTTTACCTGAGGTGCAGTAGAGTTCTTTGAATTTTGAATATGAATCTGTCTGTGTGACTGTAACGGCAGCTCAGGTGATGGTTAACTGTCTTATTGAATCTCTCCTTTTCATTTTTACTATTGAAAGTTGTACAAAGGTGTTAACCCCCCCCACACACACTTGTAAAATGGTAATCTTTTACAAATATTGCTGTAACGTCATCACCTTTGGAACACGTTGATGTACCTGATAAAAAAGCCTCAGGAAAAGTGGGTTGGCATCGTGACTGAAGTCAGCAGCAGCGATGTGAGCTAAGCAGTGCACGAGGAGGAGAAGGAAACTTCCTACAGAACTCAGGCAGTCCCTTAGAACGAAGAGATTGTTCTTTGAATCCTGAGAAAGGAAAAAATACCCAGAGCTGAGACAAGGGCACTGCAGTAGTGAGCTCAGCTGATGCAACTGTTCCGGTGGTTTGTCTCAATTTTAGGGAAGTTAAAAGATTCAAATGAGAGAGCTGGGGATTATCCATGTACACAAGACAGCAGCACTGCCATGAGACTTTGCTTGATACTCTGTAATGTGAATCTAAAGCCTTCCTGCATTCTCCGCTCCTAGACAGTTTTATATTTGTATACACGAACTTTCGAAAACTTCTCTCTCAACACCCCAGAGTTTTAGCAATAAATAACACTAATTATATTTAACAAGTAACACTCAATAAATTTAATTACGACAAGTAAAATGCTGATACATTGCTGACTTCTATAAAGCTGAGCTATAGAGAATTAGGTAGAAATGGAAGTGGTAGAACTTGGACATGAGGAACTGAGTGACCGGAGCTGATTTAATAAACTTGCTTTGGGTGTGACATTCGCGTTAAACATATATTCAGGCTTAGTATCCTAGAGTTTGTGTTCAGATATATCTGGAGCACACTATTAACGTTTGGGGATTTCTTACATCGATATTTTTTCCTAGAAAGCATCGAGCATGCTAGGCTTGAAAAGTGTGAAACGTTTTCGCATTTTACTTCCTAGTCCCAGAACTTAATGGATATGAAAATATTGCAGAGACTGGCTAGATGTGAAGTTGACAAACCTGATAAAAGAAAGAGTTTCTGAAGGCGTTGCCCGGGGCGTTACTAGGAGGTATTCTGGAGGCAACGCAGAGGTTAATTTCTGGAGCCTGCAAAGAGAAGGAAAAATGCTCCTGTAAAAAGCGTGTATGCACATCAGGTCTGCAGAGTAAGAGGGATTAATGGCATAAAAGTTCATTTAAATGTCAGCTTTGATTTGCAGTGAGTACACAGAGCCAAAAAATACCACATGAAAATGGAGACTGTTTAAAAAAAAAAACCAACAAAAACCCTAGCGAATTGTAGTAGTTCATCTTGCCAGTTTTCTAATTAAGTAAATGAAAGTGTGCTCCAGCCCTGGAGCTCTGGCTGTAGTTGCCGTGATTTTTATTATTATTTATTTAATACTTATAAAAGTATTACTTATAAAAGACCCTGGTGAGTTTACCTAGACCAACGCCATGGTGTGCGAAGAACTGTACGAAGAAAATGAGAGAATCCTTGCTCCAAGTTACAAAGGAAATATGTTTGATCACTCTATTATGCAATCTGCAGGGATTAAGTAATGCAAGAATTAAGTGATGTGTTCAAGAAAGATCCCACAGCAATAGAAGAACTGACTGTGGAGCTTGTGGGACAGAGGTTTGACTTCAAAACAGTCCTACACCATTGTGGAGCACAGATAAATGGAATTAAATTCCTGACATTTGCACACTGGTCATTCTCTACTTGACCTCACGTTGTAATTGGTAGACGCTTCGTAGCCTGTTGGCTGAAGAAATTTTTGGGTAATTGTCGTCTGTTGGAATTATCGGGATGTTAAAAACTTACATCAATGTGAAGTCTGAGAAACTGGAGGATGGAGATGCCGTACTGATAAATGACAAACTCCCTTGCAGAAAGGGTTGCAGGATCAACGACGGTTAGTTCCCCGTCCTGAGTCATCAAGGCATCGTGTATACCCCCAGAAGTATTTGCTGTTTCGGCAAGATTAATTTGTTAATTAATTTCATTAGATTAATTTGTTTCTATTTGAATTTTGTTTGTCCAAGATGTAACACTGCAATGCAAGTGTATAATACGCTGCATTTTTCACCTCATAGTATCATTGCTCAATACAAAATGAAGCCCTTCCGATGCATTTTCAATTCTTTTAAGAGTTAAAGCGCTCAATATCCTTAGACAATGCCCAAAATTTGTTCTTACTAGTGAAATTTCTGAGAACTAAGGCCGAGCAAAGCGACGTTATTTATACGGGCCTCAGAGCTGGTCAGCACCAGCCAATGGTTCTGTGTTCTGAGCCTTTCCCCTTCACCGGCAGAGCACTTCCTCCAAAGAGGGGAGCGATTTTATTATGTGTGTTCAGGAAAATCTTATCACAATTAACACAACAGACAGCTGAGTGTTGAAACCGAAACCTTCGTGTTAAACTCAAGTTCTAACCTTCATATAACAAAGAACGGAGGCGAGATTTTACCTTTGTCCAGCCTTTGACTTCCCAGGAGTCCAGCTGCCGCTGCATGGCTTCGGAGCTCGTCATTCACATCTTTCAGAAGACCAAGAAGGAAAGAGGCTTTTATACATTTAGTTTTATCACCACCTGTGTAAACAAATACGGAAATATTGCTTCCTCAGCAATCCATCTCCTACCTTTTTTTTTTTTTTTTTTAGCAACTATTTCACACATTGGAATTACGTAGACAAGTAAAGTGAAAGAGGTAAATACTGTTGCTGTTTGGGGCATGACAGTGAAGTCTGGTTGAAGATGTTAATGTTGCAGAGAAAATATCTCTCCAAAACTCTTGACATGATCCAATTCACTAGTTTTCTCCTTTTTCCTATATCTCAAACATTAGATGGAAGTCTGTTTAAACAGGAAGAACGGATGTTCAATTGAAACCCTCCAAGTCCAAACATTTCTCACTCTCAAATTTTGTTATATTCACATTTTTTTGAATAATCACATTTTTTTCTTAACAAAGTTGTCTTTGTCACTGATGCATTTTTATTGATGAAAAGAATTTTCACTCTTAACTCTATAAATAGTGACTTTCTAGCAAAGTGTCAAATTCCATATCTCTTTTTCTTTTTTTTTTTTTTTTTCCCCCCCAGGTAATGAATACAACATTTACCTGTTTAATTGCTCCAAGCCCAGAATTTGGTTTATTATAAGGACTACATCACTGCCAATTCACAGCTGTAGGCAGCTTGCTTCTGCAGATATTGCATGTGACTCATATTTTGTTGTTAAGGAGACAAAAAGGAGAGAGTTGACAGGAAAAAAAAAAAAAAAAAGCCTCTTGTGAGGTTGTTTTGTGCAGCTGTGTTTGTGGGGCAGTAGTCAATAAAGTGCCTTCAGGTGTTTACCACAGAGAGGTATCGTGAGCTGTGGGTTCAGATGGATGGATCCTGCATGCCATCAGGTGTTCTGGTTTATTTAATTTTTGTTATTAATCACCAATGTTGGTCTACTGGAGTTAAAACTGACAATTTCCTTCATCTTCTTGCACCGGAAATATTATCATGATAATCCCACCCTTAGTTAGGCTGGAAATAGTCAAGTTTCATGAGCTAAAATAAATGAAAATCAATACTGCCACAAAAAAAAAAAAAGACTGCTTAATTCTGTGTGTGTCCATTATTTTAATGCCGTCCTGCTGTTTAAACAGCCACTAATTAATTCTAAAGTGCTGACGGATCTGAAGGTTTCCCAATTTAACTAAAATCACCAACGTTTTCAAGAGGAACTAGAGGTGATTAAAAAAAAAAGAAAAAAGGGAAAAGTAGTAGCTATATTGTGAAATTACCGCTGCGTAATTCGTGATTCGCTGAAGTACCCGACAGCCGCGGAAGGCTTTACGCTGAGACCCAACTACCCCGTTTCCATTGTGCGTATCTGGCAGCAACTTGGTGTTTACCCGCTGAGTATTCCCATGAAGACAGCCGCCTTCTGAGGGAGTTAGACCAGGCCTAGAGCTGATCTTAACGAAGAGAGCCTGGATGAAGAGATCTTCCAAGCACTGATGATTCAGGCTCCAGCTACACGGACAGTTGCCCCGTGCTTGTTCGGAATGAAGAGGGAAATGTACGTGTTTGCAAGGAGTACTTTTGCTAGGGCGTTATCAGAGCAACGTTCTTGGAAATTCCACTATGCTTTTTGTTTTTAGGGTTTCGGGGAAGGATATTTCATTATAACTGTACGCTTTGCATACTAAAATTTCATCGGCAGTTGAACAACTTGTATTTTCCACCTCCGTTTGCCCATATATGGCCGGCGGACCGGTACTAAAAGCCTGGTCAGAGTGTAATTTGCAATTTTAATGTTTTCACCAGGGGAAGTAAAAGCTTTACTATTGATTTCTAGGTTTGTACTGGACTTTCTGTTGTCAGACTGAGGTTAGATGTTCTGTTCTGCGGGAGCTGCAGGACTAAAATCACGGAACCGGTTCATGTGCATAAACACAATGCATTTTTATTAATTTTTTTTATTTCCAAAGTTTAAAGCATCCCACTTAGGTTTTCGAGGTAAACCAGCTCAACTGGGATGCATAGAAAATGCAAGACATTAAAATTATGCGCCACCCTTTTCTCATGGTCTTCCCTTTGAATTTTAACTGCCTTTCAGCTTATTAACAGATTAGTCTAATGGAGTTCTGTTTATACTTATAGAAACACTCTAAATGTGGAGGAAGACATTAATTATTTTGCAAAATATACTTTTTTTTTTTTTTGTGAGGTCTGGCAAGAGAAACTTTGAGCCTTACAAATGATTTCAGGGCTGATCCCACCCTGCAGCAAGTTTACGCCAGTGGTGAGGGGTTTACTCATTAAGTGCCAAGAGATCTTTAATTCTTACAAAATGGAACCGAAGTCTAATTTTCAGCTGTCGGATGGGAGAATCTCCTTCTAGATTTTCAAAGCTGATGGGTTCCAACTACATGTTTTTCAAGGCCAGAATAAAATAAGGTACCTGACAGTACCTTTATCTCCTCACTTACCTGATGTCTCGGGTGATAAACTACTTTTGCTATTTTCCTCCAGCATCTGAACCGTAGACTTGAGTAATGAGACCAGGTTTTGCTGGATGACCTTGCATGTACTACGTGAGATCCCACTAATGCCATAAAATCTGGTTGTCTGATAGTTTTCAAAACACTGTTGTGACCCAGAGAGAAATGCCTGAAACAGCACAAAGGAGACCAAGGCCTTTTCAAAAAATAACCACTGAAAAAAAAGCATCCCGGTATTCTTTGCATTCTCATGACAACTTTATATTGTCAGTTTATAGCCATCCTATGCACCTTGTCCAGTGACTCAATAAGAAGCCACAGCACTTTGCCTCAGCACCTTAAAAGCCTTTTGCAACGGTTATGGTTTCACAGATTGCAACTCTCAGATTTTATTTTTTTTTTCCACATGCTTCAAGCTGACATAAATTTGTAAGATGTGATTTGAACTGCATTACTTGTATTTAATGCCCTCAGTTTCTCTGGAATCCATTTGTAAGTGCCGTACATGTGATAAAATGCCTTCTGTTCAACATTGTGGTCTAATAATCCTGTCTCATTTGGACTAATCAGATGATATTTAATTAACAGTGATGGTGTCATGGGAATGAGAGAGCAGAAGAGGACGACAGAGAGACCTCCCGGGGAACTGAAGAAAGAGAAAGAGGATTAGGGAAGTGCATTAATTTTAATCTTTTTATTCTAAGTGGTCCGAAATGGAATGTGGAAACCAGTTAATGCAAAGAGTCAGGACCAGATCCCGAGGCTATTGAATTAATGGAAAGATTCGCTGAGTCTTGTTAAAAGGGTTTGGGTCTACAGTTCTTAAATCACAGGTTATGGGATTTAAAAGGTGCCTTTCAGAGAGGGGGACTTGTGATCCTCTGCGCTCAAGCCTATCTGAAAATAATTTTGCATCCAGACAAAAATGTTCACAGGACTTGTAGAATGTCTGATGTCTTGCTTCTTCCCTAGGAAGAGCAAAACTTCAGGTGTCCAGCTGCTTAAAATCTCTCTGCAAATAGACAAACTGACAGCTTGGTGGTTGGACTAGATGATACTGTAGGTCCCTTCCTAGTGAACTGTTCTTATTCTATTCTATTCTATTCTATTCTATTCTATTCTATTCTATTCTATTCTATTCTATTCTATTCTATTCTATTCTATTCTATTCTATTCTATTCCCTATTCCCTATTCCCTATTCCCTATTCCCTATTCCTATTCTACTCTATTCCTATCCTATTATTTTTTCTAACCCTGCTTTTGAAAAACTGCTTTTCAAAGTGAAACTCAGTCGAATTTCCAAATGTCCCAGACTTTGATGTGTGCTGTATAAATCAACTTCTGCAATTCTCATTGAAGTTTTTTGTTATTTTACAGGGCTCTGATTTCTTGCAGCAGTGTTCTTGGATGAATGTTCTCAGAACACGGCAAGTGCTCATGCTTTTGCTGGAAAGTAAGTCACACGATTGCTTTTTTGTTCGCGGGAAGGTACCTTTGTCTGCTGCATTTGGACGTTTGACAAGTCCCTCAAATATTCCAGTTTGGTGTACGCAGTCTCCACACTGGCTTGTTGTCTCAGGACACATTCCTGAGACTCAGAGGCTAGGGCAAATATGACCTGGAAGAAAAGATACAAAATATAAGCCTGCTTCAAGTGAATTGTGAAACTTGTCTTTTATTTGCTTTCTTACACATAATCCAACAAGTCACTGGCTATAAAGCTGGTGCAACTGCAACAGCTCTAGGGCACTAGTGTCTGGGCAGCCCTTGAAGAACAGTCATGGAAACTGAAGGTGATGTGAAGGCCCCAAAAAACCCCTTTCTGACTGTATTTCAGTTTGCCATCTGTTCAGTCAGCAAAAAGCTTCGTGTTTACTTCAGCTGGTGTTGCCTGGACAGAAGGAGATGCGTTCTCTCTGGTACTAGGTAACACTTGGAGAAGCACTGATGATGCTTTCAAGGGCTGAATATGGATTTACCTGTGTGGGAATCTTATAAGTCTTTAGACATTTCGTAGCATTCCCTGCAAGAAGGAGGAGCGGAGGGAGAGAAATTAATCTGTGTGAATACCCCATCTGATTGCACCTGGATTCAGCCCTGCAGGGAATATCCACTGCTTTTTGGCAGAGTGGAACCTCCTGATCCCGGGGATCCGTTCCAGCTTTAGCAGCTCGGATTTTATATGCCAGGTTGCGTTTATTCTCTGTCAGTGACTGCTCAGCTCCTGACGTAAGGAGAATCTTCTGCAGTCAGGAAAATAAAGGAAAGCGTTTTTGTCAGGTCTTCCCTCCAACTCCAAAGCGCAGCCTGTGTCCGCTCCTACCTGCGCTGCTGCAGTTCTACAGTTCCATTGGATTTCTTTCCTTAATGAAATCCAGCTCCGATTACACAGTCCAGTGAAACGTGGCTGTTGCCAAAAGTCTATCATTAAATATCTGATCGATAGGTGTCTAGGATGACAGGGGCTGTCACCATTTCTTTTTGTTGTCATTGTTAATGCCTGTCTTTCCACTTTATTTTTCCCTTTTAGTTTTTGGTTTTTTTTGGTTTTTTTTTTTTTTTTTTTTTTTCATTCTGGGATGGAGAGAAGGCCAGATGGGAAAGGAGAAACCCTTTATCAGTTCCTGGAACTGGAAATATCACACTATACTGGTTTCAGAGCTTTCATTTTACAGTGCCTCTCTGAGTTAGACCAGAGTGTTCCGTGCAGTGATACTGGGCATGCTGAGCCCAACCCAGCAGCGTCCTCACCTTTCTGAGCTTCAAGTTTGTTCCTGGCTCGGTGCTTGAGATGTGGCTCCTTTGCTTTTCTCTCTCTATTAGCTGCATATATATTCGTTGTTCTTCTAGTCGCATCTTTTCAGCGAACTCCATCAGCTTCTCCAGTGCCTTTCTGATCTCCAGCAGAACCTGCATTTCCTGTTCTCTTTCATCTCTGTCGGCTATAAAGAGCAGGTATCAGCAGCAGCACCCATTGACAATCCTCTGGAAACGGGCTGAGCAAACCTGAACTCACTGTGCTTCACCACGTCTACGCCAGGTTTTAGAAGAGCCCAAATTTTCAGATCCTACCTCTGTATTGTCTCGCTTCAGGAGGACATAAGTAGTTTGTAAGGCTTAAGCTAACCTGCCAGAGGGAGCAAACATCCCAGAAAGCGATGTGCCACCCTGCCTCCCCCTCTTCTGGTTGTAGCTACCCTGTTGTACCTTTGAATAGCAAGGAGAGTTCGGTGGCCAGCTGGCTACTAAAATATTTTGAGGTGCGTCTCTCGGCTTCCTGCAAAGAGGATCCTTTAAGAAAACGGCACATTTCCTCAATGTCTTTCACTTTTTCCTTGTATTTTATCTGTAAGAAACAGAAGGGGAAAGGGAGTTTTGGATAGCGTTGCATACTCGTGAGATAGTGACCCGCTGTGGTACTCTCCCCTGACGTAGCAAGAGGCCGTCTAATTTGGTTATTGCTTTTTTCAAGCCTTTTAATTATTCTGAGTGTGTAGAAACTGATTGCAATTCCCCCGTTTCCCATAGCAGAATGAATTGTGGTGTCCTTGCTGTCTACAGACACATACTGAATTTGAACTCTCGATTCTCTCAGGACACCTGGCACCATTCCCTGAACTGCAGTAACAAGTGACTCCATTTACGTTTTTGGTTTCCACTCTACTGGGCAGGGAAGGGAATTGGATTCAGAACACCACCACGCTGGGAGCAGCATCGGTGATGTCCGAATGGGATTCATGTGACCAAGACTCCCTTAAAGAATTTTTAAAGAACTTTACGGAAGCCATCTGCAAAAGGAATGCGCCGTACCTTCTGTGCTTTTCCCTCTGTTGCAGCATCAAGAACATGAAGAAACAGAGAGTTCAGCTTTTTAAGAAGCTCTTCTTCCTTTTTACTTCTGCAATGCCAGTATATGTGCCTTGAATTTATTTCCTTTTCTAGAAAGTCCAGCTGTAAAGCAACGACAGACACAACAGCTCAGATTTGCAGGAAGCTGAAGGAAGGTTATTGAAGCTAGTGATGACATCTCCAGGGCTTTGGACAGCAAATATCCAATTTTCCTGCCACAGGTGATGAATGCTTTGCAGTCCTCAGTCTGTGTGTGTTATAACTCATGTCTGAGTGCAGTGTGTGTTTTGGGGTAGGGGAAGGATATGAAATAGAAGGTACAAAGATCAGCAGAAGATGCAGAGAGAAGGAAAAGAAAGAGCAGATAACGAGGAGAGGTAAGTAAAATGGCATGCACCTTGTACTGTAAGAAAATTCTACTCGTGGGACATAGAAAGAAGCGAAATTTCCCTTCAGTAGTGGAAAAGCACCAGGAAAGAATTTCCCACAGACATCAAACCTGTAAGTAGATATAGTTTGCTGGAGTTGTAATTACCAGATCTGGATCTGCAGCTCTTCTGGGTAAAACTCCAAGAGACTGAACAGTGGGAATTACATTGTGTGTCCAGGGGTTGGTTTGAGCACCTATAACGGGCCCGGTTTCACCCGTAATTGGACTTATGGTTTTGGCACCAATTGTGATGGGGACAAGGCCTGTGGATAAAGAAAAACTCAGTGTGATGCTTAGAGTTTAAATCATCACTTCCAGCTGCAGCCCTAGCGAGCAGCTTTTACTGACGTTCAGACGGATTTCAGGAATGTTCCTGGGCTGTAAATGCTGTGTACCGCGTGTTGGACCAAGGCACTGCGGATCTTCACCTTTGGATAACATCTGTTTACGGCTGCCTCACTGGGAAGAACATCGGAATAGTTCTCCTAAAGAGTACAGGAGGTTTTTGAAGGGCTGAAAGCCACGGTGTGATCGGCTCTCAGCCCTAGCTCCCCTTCGCTGTTATTCTGGTGTTGTTCTGAATGTTCACACCATCAATACCGGTGTTTTACTGTCAGTGTTGAGGTAGAAACCAACCCGTTTTCGTAGGGCGATTTCCTCTCTTTGACAATAACATGTCTGAGTCTCTTTATTGTTTACATCCAATGCAATTTTCTGCTTTACCTTTTCCGTGTCTGTCTTCCATGGTTCCTGCGAGAGGGGAAGGCTGCCTGGTGTTCCAGTCACAGTCTAGTCCCAGAACTGGCACCATCAAAGTGGACCCACCAGGATCTGGGATTTTCATTCCAAACACTGCAGGGATCCACAGCTCCGTGCCAGGATATTTGATCATACCTAGTTCGTTCAAAAAATGGAAGAAGCATAAACCATTAAATAGTTTTGTCATCAACAGAACCTCTTTCACTTTCAGAGGCTTACAAGGCTCTTCCTTCTGCTACAGCTTCCTGATAATACCCAGATGAGTTCATCGTAAGGTTTGCTAGAGTGGCTATTTTGACAGAAAACTTCCGAGCAGTCTGAAGTGCTCGTGTCTTGGCCAAATCCTGGGATGGAAACGGGGATATCGCTGTAGCCTTCAGTGTCATGACACCTGCTTACTCCTTAAAACAGTCGGGTTGTTTTATACCTACCCAGTTTACCACCGTTACTCTTGAGACTTGAAGCTATTTGCTGTTTTTTCTCCAGGCTTTGCAAGCAATGTATTGCATGATAAAGCCTAGTGGTGAAAGACTTCTTCATATCTTCTACTGAAGCCTTTAGTGCTGCTAATCTCTCTGCTACTAGACAGGAATCTTCCGAGATAGATGCCTTGAAGTGCTTCAGAGCATTGACCACATGGGTCTGTGCTACCAGCCAGTCAGCTTCCAACACTGCTTGGTAACCTCCACTGTGGGGCAGCACCTTGTCTTGCCGAAGGTGAGCTCCGTGTACCCGGGCAATTTTTCCACTCAGAGGTTCGGTGAAGGAATCTCCAAGAAGCATTAGATTTCCAGAAGGACCCACCAGCCCGCCTAGAGGTATAACTTCTCCTGCAGTCGAGGAAGAGGAATTAAGATTTAGGACATCCCCTGGCAACTCATCACTATGGTCCAGCCCTTCCCATTCAGAAAAAGTCACGATGATGGTTTACTTCAGTGGAAACAGAAATGGCTCTAATGGGACATATGGGTGGGCAAGAGTTTAAGGCTGTTTATAAAATAATTTGGCTCACAAAATGTTCTTAAATAAGTCTTGTAGTTTCTACTTTCGAAGATTAAGGTGCCCACTCCTTTTGAGTCTCTTCTCAAAGAAGATACACTTCTAGTGTATCTTCTAGCATGAGTCATAAGGAATATAAGTATGTGAAAATGCTTTTTTAGAATCTAGACCTTCAACCCCCCAGGCCTCTAAATAATGCATTTCATGCTACTTTTAGTATTTGAATATAGCAATTGGATCGTCTTTAACTAAATCAACTTCAGTAGTTGGTGTAATAGTTAATGTTGACCTCAGATGTTCCTCACAGTTTCACTGTAGTTTTATTGACCTTTAAAGTGATTAATTGTAAAATAAAGCTATAGAAAAGAGAAGGAGTACTGCCTGTAAAAGCTAAGTTGCACAATTGTTCCACAATTGCCTCGACAAAAGAAGGCAAAGGTGTGAGGAACATAAAGACTTTTTTAGGCTCATTCTGGTTTGTGCCTTGAATCGATCAGTTAGGGACAGGTTGAATGAAGAGTTCACGCCAAGCTTACGAGTCACGACGAGCATTCACCTACCAGTGTTACTATCCAAACCGACTCCGAGTATTGGAACGATCTTGCCTCCCTCTGGATCAGTCATAGGGCCCCCAATCTCCAGAGGTGTCAACATGCCAGTAAGGGGGTTAAGGTACGTCCCACCGACAGTCAGCTTTTGCCCAGTGTGAGGGTGGATCGTAACCCCAAGCACTGGAACTTCTATTTCTGTCACTGGATCTAGCATGAGTCCTCCCATAGCAAACATTTTGTCCGGGCACAGGACTGGAAGTTTTGTCTTCACAGGTAGGCCAGTGTTGGGACAAACTGGGTAGGGAATGTAGGGAAATATTGGCACTTCGGGATTATGACGCTTACCTACATGTAGAACCAGAAGAAATTTAACACAGTTATGTAAACTAATGATAATGGCAAGGAAGCATTAGAGCTCAGAGCGGACACCGCGGAGCTTTCAGATACTGCTAATACAGGTTTGTTATCTTTAGGTCTAGAATTAAATGAACGACTGTAAGCCCTTCCTGACAAGTGTATAGTTTTGGTTTGTTTTTTTTAATTTAATTTTTGCTTTGACAATTCCCGTAAAGTTGCAAGTTTCTCAGCATATAATGGTTTTCATAGTTTAATGAGCAGAGGGGCTGAAATCTGTCAGGAACAAGAATACCTCAACGCTTCCTTGGTACAAGCCTTGTAACATCTAATACATCTCATCCACAATAAGTCTTATATCTGGCTGAATGACACTCTCCTCCAGTGCCATGCAAATGAAAAGCTTTCTCAGATTTTCTTTAGGAACAAGAATGTGTGAGTATAGCAAGTTAGGGTATTTTTGGGTTTTGTTTTGTTTCAACCAGCACCCCCACTATAACTGTACCCCACAAACAGGCAGCTGAAGCGATTGGTTATTGCATTGTGGCACTTACCTGAAGCAGAATCAACAGCACAGACCAGCCTAGATCTGATGGGATCGTACCCGATGTTACCAGCTACGTGAAGTACCTTTCCAGTCTCAGGATGCAAAAAATGATTGGGAGGAACCGGCCCAGGGCACCGACTTGCCAGCAGCATGGTGCAGTGTGGGTAGGGAGTTAGCAGTCCGGTGACAGGATCCACGCAGACAACGTCGGGTGCTCGGGAAGTGCCATTTGAGTCTAAAAGCAGTTTACAACAGACCGGGAGAGGGGAAGAGGAAACAGAATCACAGAATCGTCTGGGTTGGAAAGGACCTTGAAGCTTCTCCAGTCCAACCATTAACCCAGCACCGACAGTTCCCAACTCCCCCAGATCCCTCAGTGCTGGCTCAGCCCGACTCTTCAACCCCTCCAGGGATGGGGACTCCCCCCCTGCCCTGGGCAGCCCATTCCAACGCCCAACAGCCCCTTCTGCACAGAAATCCTTCCTAATATCTAGTCTAAACCTTCCCTGGCACAACTTGAGGCCGTTCCCTCTTGTCCTGTCACTTATTATAAACAGCCTGTAGACCTTGCGGAAGGAGGGAAGGAGTGCTGGTGGTTTTTCAGAAATCGTATGCAGGGGCAGAGATGGGGTGAAAATAAATAAACTGATCTTTCTACTGCCTTTTACAGAAGATGTCTGTGGGGAAAAGTCTGTAGATAACTCAATTATCTCTCTACCATCTCCGCGTGAGGAGACTTGATGTTTCATGATTGGCCTTTCAGGACTTTCGACTTCGTTGCCTCAGCCTGCAAAGTTCATTTCAACATCCAAAGCCGCTTTCATTGTGCTTTTCTTCCTTCTGTTCCTTTCAGAAGGGTGAGAGGAAGCGGTGCCTTGGTGTCGGGGTACCTTTTACATCTTGTCATAGCAAACCAGGTGCAACAATATTAGAAAGCACGTGGCAGCAGATCAATTGAGCTCACTGAGACTTGCCTACGGAATAGTTCATTTCCCGCTCTGTGGGCAGGGGATGATTGGCAAGTAGGCAGTCAGGGATCCTGCGGGATGCAAAGCTGAGAGTCTTCCTAAGGAAAAAATGTAGACGAGTTCTACTGATGACTTTGCTTTTGTAACAACCCCTTAATTCACAAGTTGTTAGAAGGAACTCGGTGAGGACATCTTCTCTAAATACAGTCTCTTTTGACTTTGCAATTAGTTCTTTTGTGACCTGACACAGGCCTGCCTGCCCTTCCTTATACACTAATATCATTTTCAAATTAATTTCTAGAGGTTGTAGTTACCCATTAGCTCCTGCTTGGTAATTATCCTGGTTTTATCTTTGTTAAGAAGGTGAGCTCCCATTCCTTCACCCAGCACTCCCCATGCTTTGAGGCGATGACTCTCCTTTGTTATGACGCTTGACATCTTGCTGCTTGCAGCATCCATCTGGGCTAACAGGCTGGAATTCAAGAGAGGAAGATGGTTACTTGCCATCTGAAGAGAAGGTGAAACAGTTTAAAGGGAGCAGAAGAGAAAGGGTTGTGATGGACGCGCAAATGATATCTGCACTTCGGCAGTTAGAGAGCCTGATGTGTGTTTGCTTCGGGTAACGCGGTAAAAAAGATCAATTCCCCGTTTCTCTGTTTTCTTGTTAATGACACCGTTCTGATTCCGACAGGGCTAAGAGCTGTCAGAGCATGGGTGGCACATGACTGCAACTGGTGGGATAGCCCAGAGCCAAGTCAGCTGCGAGCACAAGACCCTCAAAATATCGTTGTCCCCAAAATTACGACGGGAATCTCCACAGGTTATGTCTCTGAGGTTTTTCAGGCTTGTTTTACCTAAATGTGGAATCGACAATCTGCATCATCTGATCTTCTGGATCAAGAATCAGTTTTCACCTTCCGCATATCCGTATTGCCAACCACGAGCCAACATAATCACTTGCCACAAGTGCTTTCTAGCTACCAAAAATGAAGTCGCAGCAGAATTTTTCACTATGTTTATTACCTCGTATAGTCTGGCCGGGGCTGCGTTGTTTGGTTTCCTTCCCAAACCACTTTATTCGTCAGCATCTCCGCCACTTTCAGCGCCTCTCGCAGGACAGAATTGAAGGTGACGCAGTGCTCCTCCTGACATTTCAGATCACGCTGTAACAAGTGCATCTGTTTGTTCACACTTTCCTCATACTCAGCAGCCAACTGTTTCCTTTGCTCTATTTCTTCTTCTGCCTAGGTGGAATAAAAGATCCAAACAGCTTTTTTTTTTTTTTTTTAAATCCAAATGTAAACAGAGACTGCAGTTTTTCTGCTCTTTATTCAAATGGCAAAGATTAGAAATTTAAAATTATGTTGATGTGTTCATTTGAATTTGAGCATACATATGCTGACAACTTTAATATGCTGAATTATAATTATCTAGTATGTATCCAGACCCGAGCAAGATAATATCTTAGGGTATCCTTTTAACAAGTGATGTAATTAGTCCTTAAAAAGAAAATTAGCTTTTGCAACTCCTTCCTATGTGGCATCCACATTTTTCCAAGTGGGACAATGAGAATATTTCTGTTTTCAAGACACGAAATCCTCTCATTCTTAGAACTTTTGTAACAATATAAACAAGTACAGTTCTGATGTGGAAAAACAAGTTGCAACACATGCCGGAGCAGATGAATGCGTGTTGTTTTCAAAGCTGAAACCTCTGCTACTGGAGCAGAGAGACGAGAGCTCCCAGAAGAAGCTATAGGATGCGTGGATGTGTCGGATCGAGAAAAGAAAACAAAAATTAGTGATCTTTCAGATACGTTTCTGTGTTAGCACAAAGAAGCAGCAGCTACGTTAACTGCCTTAAAGTCCCAGTGTAGCCCGCTGTTCACAGAATGTTAATTGTTTTGCAGCCTGTGAAATATGAAATGTCTACAGTTCCAAAAGTGAGGTTTTACTTGACCATGCCTAAAATTATGAAAAGAGAGTACTGAGAATTTGTTATTCCATGTGTAAGTGTTGCTGAACTGAGCGTTACCTGCTGGTTTGCTTTTAGGTAAGCCTCTGCTAGTGTGCTCTCATAAGCCTCTGTCTCTTCTGGCATGCCCAGTGTCTTTATCCAGAGGTTTTTCAATGAAGATATTTCACTGGTAAGCTTGTGATATATAGTTTTTACCTGAAAAAAAACAAAAAGAAAAAAGAAGGGTTTATATAGATTATATTAGGACTCTAAGAGAAGATTTGGAAATGGCAAAGTCTCTCTTCAAAATAGCGCACTCTGTGAAATTAAACACAGGCTGGTGTCTGAGTTTTCAGTCCGGAACACTTGAGGGGTACCTTGGCTCAGCGGAGGGCGCGAGGATTTCCCCACACTCCTGACCTGTCCGCCGCGTGCTGCAGTGCCAGCTCCCTCTGCTCTCCCCCCACACAGGTAGATTCATCACTAGGGCAGCAAAATGCTATCCCACTGATTTCAGTGGAGAGATTATTATAAAATTCAAATTACAGAATGAGGCTCCGTATCTGTGTTACTGGGTGTTCGTTTATTCATTTATATTTGTCCTCAAGTTAATCTGCGGCTCCCAAGTATTTGCCTGGGAAATCTGTATTGTTTTCATTTTACTGATGAAAAACTGTGGCTGGAAGATGAAGTCACTGTCCCAAAATGGTATCAGTTCAGTGCAGAACCATAAGAAAAAGCAAAATGTTCTGCCTCTTTTCACTGCGTTACCTGGTATAAACAACACGCTTAAGAATACGGGTACAAATTTGTGTTTCACGTTCTAAAAAGACGAAAGTTGAAATAGAGGATGTGCCTAATCGCCAAAGGCTGATGAAACGGTGGTAACAGGCAAAGTGACAGGGTTTAGGCTCTTTCTACATAAATATGGGAAGCCCCAGCGCACAATTTACCTCTTCTGTGAAGTGACCCAGTTTGGTTGTGATGGCTAGCGACTGTCTCAGCAAAACGTCAAAGAAAACGTTGGTATTGAATGACTCAAGGTCTACCTGTTCTTCAGGCTCCCAACCATCCCCCTTTTTCAGGACGCAGTCTGAAACACGAATATTCATTTATTAGCATTTTTTTTTTCATTTAAGGCCTGTTTCGAACAAAGAATGCTTTGCACATCACTGGTATTTGTGGCCATTGCGTGTTGCTACGCGTGGGGTTCCGCCTCCATTATAGGCCAGTACCCAGGTAGACTCACTGTTGTTGGACCTTTTTGTTATCTGACCCGTTCCAGCAGTGCTGCAAGAGTCGTCGTCCATCCTACCTTTGTCCTGCAGCGAGGGGTGACATTTTTGAATGGAAAAGAGTCTTGCTCTGTTGGAGGAGTAGCTGTCCAGATTATACTTGATCTGCTGCCGTCGAAACGGAGGGCAGGTGGTGCCTTTCTGGTGCCAGCTGAGTCCCTGGCAAAGAAGCTGTAAACCACAACAAAATTAAACAAGTTCCTTTTCTTATTTTGACACTTTCTATTCAAGTGATTCACACTTTATTCCCTCAACAAGCAGGATGCAGCATCACCTGTTAGGCAAAGACCCTGAAAGTCTGTGTTCTAAGAACATTAATCAGTTCTAAACCAGAAGAATTAGTAATCCCAGCAGATAAAGCTGAAACTAAGGGAAAGGAAGGACAGTTATCTCTTGTGTGGATCTGCTGGATGAATTAATCACATTTTCTATCATTACCTCAGTAGTCTGGTTGCAGAAGCAGCCTGTTGTTTTCGTAACACACTAGAAACGTAAAGGAATGGCTCTTTGGGTGATTAACAGGCTGAAGGACCGTTGTGGTTTTTAATTGTGAGGCAGCACAGCTGATCTCAGGTGTGTTGTGGTCACTGGGACTTTTGTCTGAATCGGGAGTACAAAACTGGATGTCACACGAATGACCACTGGAGAAACATATTCACGACTGATGCTCTCTATAATACCTTTCTAGGACATAGCTACGTCTTTATTTTCAGGCAGGCTCGGTCAGGCGTTAAAGAAAAAAAACAATTATCTCCTTGATGATCTCATTCCTTCCTGAAGAGCTGCGAGTTGTGAAGGATTTTGTTATGGTTTGAGCTAATAAATCAGAAAACAGGAACGAAATTCACCTACACCTTGAGTGTCTCTGGGTGGCCAGTGTAACAGGTAAATATAACAGGGCTGTGGGGGTGCTGGATCAATTCATAAAGGTGAATTTTTACCCCATATACAAACCAGAGGTTGAGTCACAATTTATTCTGATTTTCAACTTTACAGGTGATGCTTAAGGGAACAGATAGCTTGTGGGTTCACTGCACAATATCCTCTAAAAAATTTGTGTAACTATTACTTACTGTCAATACCACAGAGGCAATAAGCAACAGGAGGAGTCCTGTGATTACTCCAATAATTGCTGTCCAGTCGGGTTTCAGTAGGAGGTCTCGTTTTTTTGCAATGCCCACCTGGACAACGTATCTGGGTGTTGTGGGGAAGAACGGCCCCTCTTCGTAACACTGTCCCCCAAGTGGCATCACCCTAATGTACTTCATAAAACGAGCATAAAGAGAAAGGCCAGTCACGTGTCATTGCAGCTGATTTAAATATGCGTGCTGATTTAAATACGAGTCAAAACTTCGCAGCAGCTGCAGCATTTTGCACTCGGGGGGGGGGGTAGCACACGTGCATGCACACTCACATTTATTGCTATGCACACCTCTACAGTACGATGTACAAAATTATTTTTTTTTTTTAAAAAAAAGCTAATTACATTGTAAATGTAATTACAGGGTTCCTTGGTACGAACCATTTTTTTGTGTTGATTGCTACTTAGCCGCAGCACGTAGGTACCGGCGTACTGAAACTGGAAAAGGAAGATGAGGAATTCGTGGGAGGCCTCTTTTACTTCCTCTCGGAGGCGTCGAAGGTCTCCCCAGTCGAATTCAGCGTTTGTGTTGTACAGGTTGTTTCTAGGAGCAAAAGTACAAAAGTCAGTTCTTGTCGCTACCTGCTTTTTGGGTGCAGGCTCATAATTCCAGCAGACATTTACCGAGGCCAAGCCGTCGCTCAGGGTTCATCCCTATCACTAAATAACCGAGGATCCCTGAGAGTTTGGGCACTGAACCTCTGACTGCCCACACAGCTCTACTGTTCATTCACCCCAGTCACCCCTGGCTTTGTTTGGGGCTCCTCCTCCAACTAGTTGTCCCCAAACCAACTGTGAAGTAGCAGCAGTTAACCCTAAGCAGTGTGGGTATTTATTTAGCAGTGAAGAAATAGCCACTGGGACCCCTTATCGGTGCTGAATCACCGCAGGTGTCAGCATGGAGAACCTGGAAACCACATGTGGGGTTTGTCATCGATTACGTGTCCCTGGTGCTCTTCGTTTCTTTGAAACTCTATGAATGGCAGAAATGAAATAAAAAATAGACCTAGGAGAAGAAACCCACGAAACCACCCAAACGAGTAAAAGCCGCAAAGTCAGAGCTCCTAAGATTTTCAGTGAAGTAGGAACTACTCGTTTCCATTTGGGTTAGTTTACCGAAACCCAAACCTCAGCTCCAGTATGATTCTAAAAATAAATACAAAAAAGGGGAGAGAACTTCAGGTCAACTCGAGGGACTACACAGCGTAAGTCAGTGAGAAGTGAAGTTGCAAAGTGTGTGAACACAGGTCAGAAGCAGCATCAGCGAGACATCAGAGACACCATGTGTGTATTTAATTGTGCTTGTTTTGTTAAGTGAATGTTACTCTCTTAATGACTTACATGCTGCTTTGTACTGGGCCACAATGTCTCCTCTGTTAAAAAGACATTGAGGTATGTTTAATAATGAGATTTCTGCTCCTCCTAGTTACGTTTTCCCTTAATTCTGTGTTGAAAAAAAAAGTGAATACTTCAGCTTTGTTCTTTATAGCTTAAGGAAAAATGCGTTAGCGAAGATCTTCCCTGTTTAGCATTCGTACTTACACGTCGTAGACAGGGTAGTGCTCCTTGGAGACAACGAACGTGATGCTAACGTTAACATTAATGCACGTAGTAGGATTTAAGATGCCAGTAAATAGGATTTTTGAGGTGGAGTTTGAAGGTCTCGGGCTCTGGACCCGGGAGCAGCTGCGTTCGTCATGGCCAGACTTAACTGTAAAAGCACAGAACTTGTTAGGTTCGGGTCATTCCCGATTATTTTCTGTCCACGGAACAACCTCAGGATATAGCATTTCCTTTTCATTTTTATGACTAAGCTTTATACATGCAAATTTGATTGCCAGAATAAGGTTTACTGTCATGACAGGCTGCAAACACGCCACGGACATTTTCCTGACATGGGATGGCTGTGCACCACGTTTTCTTATCTTATCTTTTTTTTCTTTTTTTTTTTTTTTTTTTTTTGCGACACTTCTGCTGAGGTGCGGCTGGGAGAGAAGCAGCGCTTCTTGCAAAGTCAAGCAACCTTCCTAAGGGATCCGTCCCTTTATGTTTAGTCGGTTTTGGCTTGCCTCAACATCTGGGGATATCTCTGCAGAGACTCAAGTCCTGCTCTCCAAGAAAAATGCAAGTGGAAGGAGTAATAAGGAAGTGATCTGACATGCCCAAAGCGGAGGGGAGGGTGGTGGAGATTAGACCTGAAGAACAGAACTGAAGTGTGGCTCGGGACTAACGCACCAACGGGAGACGTGGGAGGAAAGTGAGAGAAGCTCAGGTGGTTGCTCCCAGGCTCTGTCCTCCCTGCAGAGCCGGGGATGTGGCGGCGGTAGGGGGCTGTGTGCCAGGGTGTGCACACACACAGGTCAAGGTGTTCAACAGTGACCCCGGTTGTTCCTCATCACCCCCAGGGTACAGGGAGGGGGGCAGAGGGACGCTGTCTGCTGAGCGGTGTGCTCAGACTGTGGCTGTCGGGGCTCTGGTTTGTGGTGTGGAGAAGGTGAGGGGTTTTTGTTTGACTTTCCCAATGCTTACTGTGAGCTGCTTTTCCGGGAATTTGAAGACGGTGAAGGCTGTTTGATTTATCTGTTGTTATTTCCTACTTGCACAGGGGCTGGTTGCTACGACCAAGCACAGTTCAACCTTAGAGGAGCTGCATTAAGTGCATCCTTTGGCTTTGCAGCAGAACTTACCTGGGGTTGTTGCTGAAGAGGTGGTTTTGTGCTGTGATGAAGCCTCGTTCAGCATGATGAAGTTGTGGAATAGTTGTGGGTCAGGGTTGTACACCCCTAAAAATCCTTTCCCTGAAGGGGTATAAAAAGTTTGGGTCACTTCTGGTTTTCCATGCATTAGACTTTGCTCTTCCTTCTAATTTATAGTTTATCTGCTCACCAAAGACCCCAAGTAAGACTTAAAAAAAATCTAAAATGAAATGGTATATACTTCTTAGTACATTTCTCTTGTTCTAGGGCAGTGTTTTAAAACCATGCTCAGGCCTTACTCAAAGCCTTTAGAGTTTGTTTAGTGTTGCAAGACCCGTTCTTTAAGTAGCAACTGGTTTAATTTGACTGAAGTAAACGAAACTGTGCAAAGGTACCACGGGCAAATGATCCTATCCGACTGTTATTGCTAAATTTTCACGTGGTTGTGCAAATAGTGCTTTTGTCCTAGTGAAGAGAAGCCTTTGACAGGCAAAGATCTTCTTTATCTCTGTTTATTATAATTTAGGGAATGGGAGAAAATCTCTGAATATCTGTCCTTTCCTCTAATATTGGAAAGATAAAGATTTCAGATGTTCTGGGACTGAGTGGGATGAATTCTGTTTGGAGTGAGAGCGTGCAGCAATGCAAATTCATCAAGATATAAGCATCAAGTTTTCTTATTGTGTGTATTTATAAATATCATGGAAAGGCTTGTTGTGTATCTAACACCCAGGGAATAATAAAGCTCTTGTTACTCTTTCCCTTACCACTCATTTTCACGATGTAGGTTGGATGGGTGTATTTGCTTTGTTCCGAGGTGCAGACGTCTTTAAAAGAGAAATACGGTCTGAGTAGAACTGCTCTTAATTCTTCTAGGAAAACAGCAGTCTAAGAGAAAAAGAGTTCAAACATTTATTTTTTTTTTTCCCCATGAATTTTTCCGCACAGTTGCAATGTAAGACCAGGTGTACAAAAATGTGCTGTGCATATAACAGTGTCTGGGGATTTTGTTGGTTGTTTTCTATAATTTTCTAAGAAAAAGGGGAAAAGGTTGTACTTTAGTAGATTAAGAAAACAACCATAGCTCTTACCTTGCTCCCGTTTCTGTAAGTGATAAAAAGCTGAGTGTTTTTCTCGGTACGGGTGACCTGCAGAGTGTCTCTTTGTTGCCTTCTACACTGAGAATTACACACACTCTCCAGACTGTCAGGCTGACAAATGCAGAGGCCAAGAACCTTGTCGTAGCCTTGATAATCTGTGGGGACTGGACAAACCTGCAGGAGGGGGAAAAAAGGAATAAAATAGCAGTACAAGTAATGTCCAGGTGTTGCTTAAGTAAGGAGGGAAATCTGGACTTTGCAGGTTGTAGAAGAGGCGAGACCCCTTCTGAAAACGCTGATAACACTTGGTTGCTGTGCTGGCTTGTGTTTTCTGAAGGAAGAGCTTGGGAGTTTGCTGTTAGGGTAGTTTCTGCATGGTCTTTGCGTTTAATTAATGCAAAAAATCGAAATACCTTCTCAGAGCAATAACGAACCCATCCTGTCTTGGTTAAACACTGTCCTTCCTGATTTCGGGAGGCTGAATCTCGACAGGTATCGTATGCTTGTCTGACACAGCGCCTTCCGTCACCGAAGGACCTCCAGTAACCTGGAGGGCATGTGCAGTGAGCGTCACGGGGCTGGAACGAAAACAGAGGTGTTTGCTTGGGAAGCTGCGGTCTGATGCATACACTGTCGCGTACCTTGCTTCAGGGAGCAGCGCACCGTCTCTGACCAAGGGCGGGTGGGACTCTGATGTCCGCACACATACCCGTTGCCTTCCAGTGAGGGGGGAGGATTGATGTAGCCCTGAAGAAACCTGGACCACACGTAGATCTGGTGTCCCTGTGCCCCTCCCTGGGGGTCTGTGTAATTGGAAATGAGGTGCAGGGCTGAAGGCTGTCAATGCTAAAGGGAAAGAGGCTGCCCAGGGCAGAGCAAGCGAGGCAGAGAGACTGCAGAACAAGATGTGGAGTGATACTGGTGCGTGTTAAGGCTGAGCAGTTTTCGCGGGACCGCTCCTGTACCTGAAACACTTGACCTTTCCCAAGACAGACGCAGGTCTCTTGCCCTTCCGCAGGCTGCGCTGCCTCCGAGCCGCATGGCAGACAGGCTCTTTGGCCCGAAATGGGATTAAAAAAATCCACCGGGCATGTCAAGCAGCTGCGCGATGTCAGCGGGGCTCCTTCGGAACGAAAAGTTCCTGGGGGACACGGAACCGGTGTGGGGCTTCCTTCGGGGCAAAAAAACCCTTTGAACAGCAAAGAAAATCCTTGTCAGTTTTTTCTCATCTAATGCCGCTGTATTATGCAGACGGATGAGTTAGTGTCTTTCCAGTTCAAATACTGTAGTTTATGTCATAACATTTCAGCTAAACGAATCCCATTTCATCAAAAATGTTCCCCCACTTCAAGATTGTCTTTACTCTGCAGTACAGCAAGGAAGTTTTCTGATATGCAAATCTTATTACAGTAAAATTTACTGCTCTATCCTTGTTGAAGCTTACTTACCTTTTACAACATGGATTTCAGCAAGCCCAATCGATAGTCTAAGAGCTCCTGTAGCATTCAGCAAAATTAAAGCTTGACTGCTTTTTATTTATTGAGCAGTAAGTGATTGAGAAGCATTCTAAAGTAAATTATGTAAAATTCTGTAAATTATCTGCAAATACCTGCTGGACAAATGGGCAGATTCTGTTCTCTTCTTTTGCAGTAAATTCCATTTTGACAGTCCTCATAGTTTTGAAGCTGTAGCTCCCCGTTGTCACAAGGCAAGCTTGAAAAAATACAGAAAATAAATAGAAAAAGGGCCATTTATCTATCACATTGAGCGGCTTGAGTTGCCAAATGTGGGTGACGGACGTGCATAAGCAGAGCTTTCCTTTCAGCCACTGAATATTGAATGGTCAGTGAAACTTAAAACATGCGGATACATTGGTGTAAAATATCCACGGCAGTTATCTGAGCTTATTCTAGTCCCCTGCAGGTCACATAACACAAGCTCTACTCTGTCCAATATAAAGAATTTACATATTAAATGTGACTTGCAGCACAGGTAAGTGCTTATTTATAACTCCAGGCAAGGTGCTGCTGGGGTTTGTTATCTGCAGTTATCAGGGTCTTTTTTTTTTTTTTTTTTTTTTTAAAGTCTATGAATCCTCATTTACCATAAGGGATCGTAGTCTGGGATATCCTGGGGTTTTTATTTCTGGGAGAGGCTTCAAACTTTAGGATGAGCATAAACCAAAAAGCTGCTGGGCAATTAGTGCTTCTCGGTGTTTACTATCGAAAATATAATTATTCGCGGCTGTTTTGTCCCCTCTTGTGCTCAAGGGATGGAGCCGTTGTGCTTCCTTCTCCTTTAGATGGAAAAGGCCTTGTGGTCTTCTTGGTGTGGGCAAGAAAAAACTGATTTTTTTTTAAGTGTAATGAGCTGTAGGAAGAGAGTTAATGTCACATCTGGCATTGATGGGCATTTGAGGCGTGTCTGAAACCTTTCCCTTGTAATAAAAGGCAGCTATGCCCGCCCCCTGCCTGCTTGTGTCACGAGGGAGGTGTCCTGTATCTAGCAGAGACTTCTGTTGTCTTGTCAAATATATAATCAAACATCCAAGAGCGTTTCTGAACGGCCTCTCCCATTGCCACAGGCAGTACAGACAGGGGACAGCAATGGGAAAGGCACGTGCATTTCTTTAAGATTTTTTTTTTTTTTTTCACGCAGCTACTAGTACGAAGAGCTGTAGTTGGACGGACTTTCTAGGGACATTAAAAACTGGGTGGTTTCTGGGTATGTTTTGGATGGCAGTCGTTGTTCCACCGGCTAGTCAGCCTGGAAAAAAAATGGGAAGCGAGAGGGACGTTCAGAGACGGGACATGTCTATCTTTTTATAAAACGACTGCATCTTAGTTGGCACTGTGCAGGTCACCAAAAAATGTTGGTGCCCCTTTGGCAAATCTCTGGTTTTACAGTGAAGTGTTAGTTTGTATACTTTTATTTTTATTTTTTTTTTAATATGCAGGAATGTCTGGAGTCCTCAGCCAACGGCTGTGATTTATGTGCAGTACAGTATCCACTAAAGGAGTTTGATTCTTAATGCAGGGTTTGCTTAGATCTGAATTGCCTGCGCTCTAAATCACAACCCGAACCGTTCCCGCTCTGTGGCTGCCTAATGCTGGAAGTACCTAAACTCACCTCCTTGTTTGAGTTTGCATTCCCCAAGCACAGAAATCTCTGTCTCTTGAGCATGCCTGGAATTGCCCCCATGGGAGAAATCCTGTGCATAGGTCCTGCCTAAAACAGATCGGAATGCAGGAACTAGCTGGGATTTTGTTGCCTATTCTCCTGTCCCCTGCAGGGCTTTGCTTTGGAGCCTAGTCTCAGAGCACACCTAGTAAATTCTGGTAATTGCCAAATTGAGGGTAGCCATTTATTCTTTGTAGTCTCTCTTTTTTTTTAATCATAGATAAAGCCCAAGCCATCTGCCAGCCAATGGAGCTGGAATGCTTGCACAGAGATCTATTTTCATTCCCTTTCTTTCAATCCACATCTCTTGCTTCATACAGTAGCGCCTTGCTGCCAGCCGGTGTCTGTGCGCAGAGGGAGGCGAACAAAAGGGAGCTCACGGATGATGACAGCCTGGTCCATTGCTCTGTTGAGCTGGAGCTGTGCAGCCCCCCGTGTCCCAGTCTAGAGAGAGCGGTGAGGAGTTCAGTGACCGTGTTCAGCTCCTTCCCTCCAGCAGTGTATTTCAGTCAGCTGCCACAAGGCTCTGGATTCCACTGTAAGTCTAGAAGATTTGATGCTGGAATATTTTTATTTTTTTTTTCCCCAGGGCAGATTAGGTTAGGCAAGCCTCCCAGTCCTGGATCTGACAGAGTTCAGTCTTTGGGGATGACATGTACAGCACTGTGGGAATGACCCCAGAGATTCCCCCAGGCATTGGGTTTCACAGGCAGAGAAGACGAGAGGGAGTTCCTTGTTTTCCTTCATACGGGAAGTATTTTATAGTCCCGTATCCAGCTGCTGTTTGCTACGCACACCACTGTCCGGTGGTGACGGGTCTAGAATGAGGAAATAGCTTGTGATAACATTTTTCCCTGCTGAGTCCTAGGTTAGGGATTGCTCGCTGTTACGGGCAGATACACAATTTCCTTTTTCTAGAGAACTGATAGGTGAAGTTGCTGTGTGTGTCAAGCTGTCATTTTCCTGGCAGGGATTGGAGTTTAATATCCCCCATAAAATGTTTCGTGATGGTAATCAAGACCAAGAGTTGGTGCCTGAGTCATTCTCGAAGGCCTGGCTGACACGGTCGCCCTTTAGTCATTAACTATCTTAACTTTTCAATCCAGCGAAAGGACAGAAAAAAAGAGGGGGAGGCCAATAACAATGAACTACAGGGTTTTTTTTTTTTCTATTTAATTTTTAAAGAAGCTGGAAAAAAACGAGCAGGCTATTAGCCTCTAAAAGCACCATATTATTGAACAAAAATTGGACTTTTCCCATTTTCTCAAATAGCTGCTGAAGGGAGCAAAGCAGTCTTGCTGTTCTCTGGTATGGAACTTGTAGAAGCCTCCCTGATGCACATACAAGATTTTAACTCATAATTATTTTGGTTAGCAGTGCTATTTTTTTTTTTTTTCCCCCTCACTGACCTTAATCACTGCTGTTTTCAGTCTACAAACTCCAAGGTTTTGTGGGCTATTTTTCTTCCTGGGGCGTTGGGGTTTGAGAATTATTTGTTTAATTTCATGGGATCTGAAAAAGCAGGTATCACTGTTTGTAAGACCCATAGTAAGGCAGTCAAACAAAATATTGGTCTCAATTCTCTGTAAAACAGAATAAAGGCTTTTCTAAACAAAGGGAAGGTTGTCCTGACACAGCCACAGGTGGTGTACGTTCTCCTGCAAATATTTGACCAACCTACTCCTTAGTTACACCGCGTTGTTATTTTTTTCCACATAAACTTTATTCTCCAGATAATGTTTACGGTAGCCTTTGACTCCGCTGAAGGAGGCCGGTTACTTTTCGGTAATGCTTGATTTACAATTATACGGGTTTTCTGAAGAGCAGCTTATGCAAATGCTGAAATGGTTTTGAAGACTTCCAGTGAAAGGCTGGGCTGCGGCAGTTGGCACAAAGCCAAGGTAATTTTTGAAATTTTTTTTTTGTTTGTTTTTTGGGGTTTTTTTTGTTGACAATATCCACAGGGGACTCTCGGAGGACTTTTTACTCAAAAAAACCCCCCTGAGGTTTACCTTGAATCCTTCCACCTCGCTCCAGGGTAGGGACGTTGGGACAAATTTGGAGTGTGCGTCGTGCTCCCTTTCAGTTCCACACTTGGCTGAACTGGAGGTAAGGGTGAAGTTAACTTCATGTCCCCAGTCTGAGGGGGAGAAAAAAATTAAATTAAATCAGATTTACAACTAGTTCCTGCAGACCTACTTCCTGTTCGAAGAACTACCAGTTGCAAAATACAACATTTTCCGGTGCTTTGGGTTTTCTTTGGTTTGTGTGTTGTTGTTGGGTGTGTTTTGGGTTTTTTTGTTTGGTGGTTGTGGTGTTGGTTTTGTTTTGTTTTTTTTTTTGTCTGCAGTGTACTTAATCCCTGCGTCTTTCTCCACATAAAATACAAGCATGTGACAGCACAACCTGGAACTTTGTGGGGTTATTTGTCATCTTCGGAAGATGCTACTCATTAAATTGGACTGGTGAAAGTGATCCACCACGTGGAGGGTTCTCATTTTATTTTCCTTCCTTTTTTCATGCCTTCTCAGATTTCTCTTTATTCTTCAGTGTTTACAGCTCTTCTAGTTTGTTCTTTTTTTGGGAATCAAATGATCATAAGACTTCTGGCACTCGGGACTCGCTGTGTTGGAAAACAAAAAAAAACCACCAACCTGAAGACAGGTTATTCTGAGAAAATCCTGAAAAGCCAGCTGAATCATAATTTAAATTTAAACAAATGAGGATACAGGCCGGAGACCTCAGGTTTTTTTCAAGTCCCTGGGACAATGCAGGGACTGGAAGTTGCTAGGGTGGGTTGTTTTGTGTTTTTTTTTTCTTTGACTTTGTAGCTGTATTTTTGCAGTAGTGATGTGTTCTACCTGGATTAAAACCTCTGAGGATGTAAGTTAACTTCTCTGCAGCCGAGCTCTTGTTCTGGGAGAGAAGGTGATGCGAGGAATATACTGGTGCATGACTTCCTCAGGGCATTAAACCCCAAAGTTTTATTTAATCCGTCAGAGAATGTCGCTGCGGGTTTTGTTTTACAGCAGGCTAGTATTTTGTGAGAAATAGCCTGCTGTGAACACAGGAAATACAAATCTGGTATTAAAATGACCTCTATTACGTAAATGTCGTCAGGATGGACTTTAATAGTGTACGTGCTTCACCTTAGCAAACACTCCGTTTGGCTCTGAAATTGAAGAACTGCTGGGTTCTGCAGAAGCTTATCTATTTTATATATCAGACAAGAGATTGCCTTTGTGTGTGAGTAATAATTCCAGTGAAATGGAAAGGTCGTGTTCACTAGAAGTCAAAACATGTACACCTGGAAACATCAGAAAAACAAAATCAGAAGACGTCCAACGGCTTGAAATCCTCGCGGATGCCTTTCTGTTCACTGGTATTTCCTAGAGTCTTTCTAGCAGGCAGATTGCTTCATTGCGGGGTGATTTCATCACAGCCTGAGCCGAGGTGTAAACACGCCTTTTCGGTCCAACTCTCTCAAGAAACGTAATGGAAGGAGCAGAAAGGGGGCTGTGCTTTGTGGACTCTCAAATGCTTTATTAAGTTTCAGGGTTTGTGAGGATGGAAATATTTTTTTCTTTTCTTTTTTTTTTTTTTTTTTTTTTCCCTTTGCCTGTCCCCACCATGATCCCTTGTCAAAGTGCTTGAAATACTCAGCTTTTCAGTTAGTGGGACTCCCTTCTCTAAATTTATTTCATCTGTCTTGTTGAGCGCAGCTGCAGAAACATGTCTTGTTTTAAATTGAATCGTTATGTTTCCAAGTTTCTCTAGCCACAAAGAAAGCAGGAAAAATAAAACTTGATGGGTGAGACTGTTCTAAAGGAATCTGAATCAGCCAAGAGCTCAGCCTCTCCCTCTCGCTTGGCTCAGCAACTTGGCTCCTCCAGCTCTGCTTGCAATTCAGCCTGGTTGTCATCACGTGGGGAGATGTGGAGTTATGGGATGCAGGGTGGTGTAGAGGAAATGTCAATGATTCTTCTGCAGTGGCAGCTGTTGATCCATATTCTTAAAAGGGCTGTGGAGGGTTTTCTCAGGTGTCCAACCTCTCCCCGACTCTTTCCTTGGTTCCTCATCTAAAACATTGAAATCTTTTGGTTTGTGTGTTAAATGACATTAAAAAATTTTATTTTCTTGTAAGTGTTTTTACTTACGATCATGGCACTGTTTTCTGTTTTAACACGACCTGTCTTAGCGGGTAACACTTCATATGCTTCTCAGCGACACGTTATTTGGGACCTGGGAGCTGATGGCTTGTTTAAACAAAATCCAGCAGCCTTAGGGAGTCTTTGATGCAGTAGTTGTGGATGTGCAGCAAAGCACGATTTCAAGGACACATTCTGGAGGATAAAAATTAAACAGGAGGTGGATTTTGTGCTGCGATCAGCCTTGGTGTGGTACCAGGCTGGTGTGACGGGGTCAGTTGGATCCCTCCAGGTTGAGATACCCTTTTGCCAAAAAGAATTTGGGTCCCGTTCCATTTGGCAGAAGTAGGAGGAAAGAAGAATGCTGGAGCATTTCTGCCATCACTGGCTACTGGAAGTAGCTCCCAGAGGGGCTGTTTGCTTAAGACACCTTCCAGAGTTCATGGTCTGTAACAGGCTCTCTTGTCGCCGGCAGAATTTTATGCAGCTGAAAATCTGGGCCGGAATCTCTCTGCTCTCATTCTCGTGTTGTTTCTACTTTTTCCAATTTATGTAACACCTAGAAGAGCTTCCATGTGTCTGCCATGCAGTTCATTTCAGTGCTGCCCTGCCCAAACTGTTAGCTTCTACTGGGCTACAAAACCTCTCCCCAGAACTCACTTGATTTTTTATTTTTTTTTTTTAATTTTTTACTCAGCCCAGCTGCTGGGAACAATTGCCTGCAGAAAGCTGTTGTATCTCTTGTGGTAGCAATCCCACTAGGAGCAGGGTCTATGCAAAGCCTCTATCTAAATGCTAGTACATCTCTTTACTCACAAATGGAAAACAAAAATAGAAAAAAGTCTTGCTGTAGGAATGCAAGTTACTTTTACGGATGGTAGTTCATATTCAAAGCCCTCTTTTATTATAGAAAAGCTTGCTTCAGTCAGCCGCAGAGAGTGGCTGCAAAGCTACACCTTTTCCAGCAAACACTCATGTTACTTCATCTCCTTAGGTCCACCAATTATTTTTTTTTTTTCCTACTTTGAGGTAAGTTAGTTGCAGGCAAAAATTTTAGTGTTTAAAAAAAAAAAAAGAAGCTGAGAATCAGTTTTATAGTTCATTGAAAGAAGAGTTGTCTAGCTCCTAGCTAAAGGTGGTGGGTTAAACCCTTCAGTACTTTGTCTCCTCTGAAGTCTGCTTTTCACGACAGTCGCTTCTGTTGTGAGTATAGTATGGCTATAGTAGTACACAAAAATCAGCGAGTTACATACTGCATGAAATAATGTATTTATTGAGAGGAAGGAACAATGAAACAATGGGAAAGGTACCTACTAACGTCAATGCCGTTAATGCAGAACTGTGGTAGAATACACTGTACGATCTAGTTCAGCTTTGAGTTCGTTGAGTAAATGATATATACCGATAGCTTAAGGTTCCTGCCCTTTCACCTGAACGGTTTCCATGTGACTAAAAACTTGATTAATATTGTATTCTTATACAATAGTTTTTTTTTTTTTTTTTTTTTTTTTTTTAGATATCCTGTAAGCAAATTCGTTTTTCTTCGCTCAGAGTGCTTACTGGTCCACCTCTCCACTTGTTCACCACATTGCTTCACTCTTGGGTTTGTATGTGATGCGGGATTTCTTGGTTAAGGAGTCTTTAATTTCAGTTGGATCTGATCCTTAAATCACATCAGTGGACGCTGAGTAACCTAGAAGATCCTCGTTAATTCTCTTCAAATGAATAAAAAGTTTTGTGAGCACAGATGTGAGTTAAAACATGAAGGAAGAATGAGTGGTGATGGGGGGGGGGGGGAATAGAGAAAAATCAGAGGAAACTTTGTATTTCCGAGTAAAACCTAGGACAAAGATGGAGAAAGAAAAGACTTCACATGATTAAAACACGAGGGACACCTATAGAAGGAGGTGGATGAATATTCCGTAGTGTTATCAAACTCGTCATGTGAATAAGAAAAGTAATTTTAATTTTTTTAAAAAAAATACTTATTTTTGAAGTATCATGTCTCATTCAGACTAGAGAAAGCACAGAAGGGTACTATCCAGCTTTTCAGGGCATAAGAAACACAGGGTATGACCCAAATCCCAGTGGAATTAACTTAAACACCGTAATTTTTCAGTAAAACCTAATTCACGTTGTGCAACATAGCTCTTGGAGCTTAACACTTCAGCATATCCAGTAAGAGGAAAATAACCTTTTTTTTTTTTTTTTTTTTTTTTTTTACAAGAAGAAAATGCAAAGGGTTCATTAAAAAAAAAAAAAAATATTCCCCAAACACGCTGAGTACTTAATACTGGATCCTGCAATGGTTACACGTGAAAAATCTCCCATTTACTTCAACAGGAGACACGCGCGCGCGAGTTGATTGCTGGATCGGTCACGCTGTGGGTTGTATAAATGTAGGTTGCTCCATATGTAGCAAACAGGGAAGTTTCATAGAAACCAGCTAATGCACAATCAGAAGTTTAAAATAAAATGATACTAAGTCTGGGAAGAGAATTTGGTTTTTTGTTGGTTTTTTTTTTTTTTACACTAATTATTTATTTTACAGGAATTCTACTGAATACTTAGATGTTTGGTGGCACAGAAAGATTTATGCTCCTTGTTGTTCTTGCAGAATTGCTTAGTATAAAACCTATCCTTGTAAAGTGTGATATAGTTCAGTTTTATCAAGGTTTATTTCTCTGTTAGATCACCCAGAGTGAAAGGAACTGATGCCAAATACATTCTGTCCCAGACTTCACCTACAATCCGTTATTGTGGCAAATTCTGATTGCATAAATAAAGAGCTCAATTGATGTTGAAAAAACATGCTCAGTAACCGTGTGTGGATATGGGTTTGTTTTTTTTTTTTGAGGGATTTTTTTTTTTTTCCTAGTAAGACTGCCTCAAGGTGTAACAACTCCAGCCTCGGACAAATTCAGAGCCAGGCTGCAGAAAGTATTACACATGGCCCATCGGATTGTGAATTCCCATAGCTCGTGTTTATAAGTATTTATTGCCTGAGATTTTCAGCACGTCTGAACATTTCGTTTGGACTGTAGAGACTACTCTTGCACTAGTACCCTCAAGACTAGACTCTGAATGGCTGAAGGGTTGTTTTGTTTTGTTTTGTTTTGTTTGTTTTTTTCCTTAAGCTAGGCACCTGCTTTAAAAAAAAATTGTCAAGAGCTTCAGAATGTAGGACACCTGCAACTCAAATGGACTTCAGAAGAGAAGTGCAAGCGCTCAGCTTTGTGAGAAAATTGAGGCTTATTCATTTACTGGAATGTCTAACACTGAGTGCCTAATACTGCTGGAACCTGGTTTGAGAGTTTTTCCCGTTTATTAGTTTAATTCTGTGTACTGAGGAGGTATTTTCAACAGTCAGTTCAAGCTGTAATACATCCGAAGACTTTTACTGTCTGTTCTCTGTTCTTCAGCAACAGTTGCAGCACACGGACCATCAGATGCAGATGATAACAAGCCCTATCAGCATTTCCCTGGAAGGCAATAAACCAACAAATATTCAGCTCAATCTACATGCCAAGTGTTCTTTCTGATGCCATATATTGCCCTATTTTCTACTTGGTTTTGGATGAGCGAGGAGCTTTGCAAGCAAAAGGGATTCTGTGCAGAACTCTGGAGTTAGTCCGGTGTCTGTTTTAAGTTGCTGGGCATCTCTTCCATCAGTTCCATGTGAACTGATGGTGAATTGTTCTCTAGTAACGCAGGGAGGGTACTGGAGCTAGCTGCTACGTTACAGCTGAGTTACAAAGACCCCGCCTAGGCAAAATCAGTTTCCTACCACAAAATACCTTTAAGAATTACATCCAAGAGGTCTGAAGATGACACAGGGAAAAGTTCAGCAAAGTTATCTGGTGATGAGGGACTGGGCGTTCTTCTCGGAGCATCCAGCAGACTGTAACTCTATACAGGTGAAGAAACCAGAACAGTAAATCTCCAGCATTAACAGCGATGCAGGCTTTGTGTCAAGAACTTGTACTGGTTTTGGCATGCCAAGCCTAGGTTCTTCCCCATAAGACTGGAGAGGGCAGCATGTTTAATTGTTCAGTCTGCAATAAGATGGATTGAAATAATTTTCTTTTAATTGTTTTTTTATCTCCTACAGAACGTAACTGTTAAGCAGATGGGTTCCTAAATGACTTGAAATGTAGCTTTAAATCTGTATTTCTAATCAAATTCTTATTATACCACGGGTTTCTGTACATGGACACTGGTGGGAACTCTTATCTGACAGTCGAAAAAAGACCCTAAAAAAGGTGAAAGGGCTGTAACTTTTCAGAACTGAAGATTTGCTTCACCTTGGACAAGAACACTGGAACCTGCCGCAGATGGAGCGTCATTTCGATAGAGCAGAATTTCACCTTAAACTTAGTTCACTGTTAATCGCTCAAGCTTCTGCTTTTTGATGTTTGTGGCTCATTACCTGCACCACAAATTTAGCCAGAGATGCTGATACCCACTGGTTGTCTTTTGGCTGAGCGATGCAGGATTTTGGGTAGTTTTGCTGTTGAATGTGTGTGCAAAAACAGAGAAAATGAAAACAGAGAAAATTTCTCTTTTACGAAGCTGCTGATGGCAACTGAGCATAGTGGCAATACTTGTGCCTGCAGCATTCCCTCATCAGCAGAGGAAAAATTGCCCTGATGTTGCTTTGGAGTTGCCTCTACCTGGCTTGGTGTGCTGTAAAATGTGGAGAATGAAGCTGTCGTTGCCAGGAGGAGTTTGGATTGGGGACGGGTGTGAGCGGTACGCACCTGCACACCACTGGACTGATTTAAATGATGGCAAATAGAGCAGTTCCTAGGGCTGGGCTGGGACCAAGAGCTTGCCCAGTGCTTTTTCCCTGAAAAGGGGATTTTTCTGCAAGATAGGGCAAGGCTGGGAGCATCAGCTACCGTGATTCCAAGATGACAGAGCTTAGATCACTGCGCTTAGTTTCTTGGGTACGGATGCTAGAGCCTGTGGTAAAGTAGCTACAGCTAGTTACCTCTTGAAGAATGTTCTCTCCTTTAGGTTTATGAGTCTGAAGCAAACACATAAGTTCTGTGTTTTCCTCAATTTTTAAACAGGTCGTGGTGACTTGATGTGAATTTAGTACCTGTGAAAGACAGTGAAACCCATGATCGCAAAAATAAGGAAAACCTAAGGCCAGGGTAAAGAGCGTGCTGCCAGTCCTCACCTGCACCTCGGGCTTCCCTCCCATTTGTAGTAAGCAGTTGATTCCCTCAAGGATTTGATCTTTGCGGAGTCTGAGAAACCTTCCCGTGTCAGTATTGATGTCAGCCTTTTGAGATTCTGTAACTAAGACAGTGTGGGCGAGAGCAGCACAGTGTAGCGGCGTTAAACCTGAACGGACCAGAGGAAAGTCAAGTAAACCCAGTGCTTGAGCAACCTTGCTGGAGTAAACCGTCCCGCGCTTGGCTAATCCGAAGGGGGGGGGGGGGCCAGATTGGCTCTTCTCCCTTTACTTTTAAATTTTAAACATGATATTAAACGTTCTTTGGCCTAGATAAAAAACTGTAGTCTGAAAATTCTGGGCTGTAGGCTCAGCATCCATGTGGTTAGGCTTTTCCTCTTACCGTAATGGTCCGTCAGATTCACCTCCACGTACACGCCGTTGGTTTTGCAGTTTTTCAAAACCTGAAATGAAGATGATTGAGATAAGCCCTGATATTTTTTTTTTTTTTTTTAACACTGCCAAAATACCCCCTCCTCCCTCCACTCCATCTTACTTTAACCACATCAGACCAAAGCTAATTTTCCGGTACAGAAAAACCCTTGTATACTTTAACCAAAAGAACATGCACTTGTTATTTTCGCTCTAATGTGTCTTTGTACAACGTAAAGGACCAACTTGCCTCTAAAACTCTCAAATAGCCGTTCTCTGCACACAGATGGAGTGGAGTTTTCCCCAAACTATCCTGTTCGTTGACATTAGCTCCTAGGGATATCAGGTCGCTCACCATCAGGTGTTGGTTCTTCTCTGCAGCAAGATGTAGTGCAGTCTAAGAGGAGAAGAATGGGAGAAGCGCGTTGTGAAACGCAAAAACAGTTTTAAAAAAAAAAACCCAGTGCTTGTTCGAGAAGGAGGTGGGGAGTTGGGACTCTGCGTTCCGTGCCCGGTTGTGCTAATACTTGCTGTACTTCATTCCTGTTTTCCCCTCTTGGCAAGGACAGCAGCCACACGTTGTCCAACAGTGCTTGACTGAGGTTTGAAAGGTGTTTGCATGGGATAGACAATTACCCTATTCTTGGCAAATTAGCATCCTACCCGTTCCTCCGCATCCTTCTCATTGATCTTATTTAGGGATGCAAATCTCTGTGCGAGTGCGTAAGTCAGAGCTCGTCTTCCCTGAGCAACAGCCTTGTGCAGCAGTCTGGAATAGAACGGAGTTTTAAACAGTTAGAAGATAAAGCAGCAGTAAAAATACTCAAAAGTAGTAGTTAAAACACTCGAAAGTCGCAGTGAGAATGTATTTTAAAGCACGAAGTGTTAAGGTTCACGAATACTGGAATCTTGTGATATTTAAGCATTTAGTCTCTATATTAATAACGGAGTTGATGATTTATTTTTTTTTTTCAGGGTTTCTTGGCCCTCCCTTGCTATTATGCCATTCCTCTGCTCTCCAGGAATTGCTCCATGATTCCTTTTTGCTAACAATCTCTATTCCCTCCTCTTTATTTTTTTTAAGTGTCCTTAAAAGAGTGTAAGATACCTAAAAATGGAAAGAATAGAAAGTCTCCTCTTGCACTTAAGTATTTCCAAACTGTGGCTCAGTCCCGTGAAGGAAGAGGAGAGCTCCATTTCTTCTGTGTATTCAGTCCTGCTGAGCTCAAAATAGTACCAGTATTGCTCCTAAACTTCATCCTTAAAGATTTTTTTTTTTTTTCTTGTAAATTTGCGCATGTCTTCCTTTCCTCCTGGAGGAAGAGTTAATGCTGGTGTTGATTTTACTTATTTATTTCCCCCTTGTCTTATAACATGATATCAGAATAACTCTGACACTTATTGTGATTTTTTTGGGGGGGTCTGCTTTGGGGTTTTTTTGGTGTGGTTTCCTGACATAGTAACTAATATTGTTCACCACTCGTTAGAACTCGGAGTCAGCCCATTTGAGATGTAGTGCTGCCTTCATATGTTCCTTTGAGAGTGTAATCTGATGTTCAAATAGGTGTTCATAGCGGTAAGAAATTTTAGCTTGTGGATTTTACACAAACAGGTAGCAAAAACGTCTTAATTTCTTAATTGCGATTGATTTTTTTCCTATGTGAGATTTTTTTTTTTTTCTGTATTGCTTAAAACCATGCAGGAAATATGGCAGTGGGTGGCTTATTGTAACTCGGTTACAGTTCCGTTGTTGCTGAAAAGTGAAATCTGATTTTCTTATTGCACTGAAAATCGTTATTCTGAATGGAACAGAATATTATTCCTGTCCTCTTCCATAAAGAAAAGAAGAGGACAGTGCTGGGCTTAGCTTTCCCTGCACGGGTTATAAATCCCTTAAGTTGGGAGCAGGATTGTCCCTATGAACAGGAATTAATCTCTGTCCCATCAAGACCAGGACACTTTATAAGTTATGTCACGCTTTCTGTCAATCTGATTTGATACCAGTTTCCCTAAACTAGCTGAACTGTATCGAATCTAATGAGGTATTTTATTTTTGTGTTAATCAACAGTTATTTTCTCTGTAAGTGCCATTCTAGGGAAAATGGGATCAGTAAAACCTTTGCTTTCATTTGATTGCTAATAAAACAGCCACTCCCATAGCAGCATATGTATGTTTTGGTGTAATCCTCTCACCCATTTTTATTACCAGCTAATAATACAAGTAATTATCCTGAGAGTGTCTGCAGCATGGAAAAGATCCTTTTTTGCATATCCTTTTTTTTTTTTTTTTTTTTTTTTTTT